CTCTGACACTGAAGATGGGGAAGGAGGTGTTGGAGTTTTCAGGAGTGTGGCGAAGATATGAAATGGGCATCTAGGAGAGTGGGAAAGCAAATGCCCCAGGGACTTAGAGCGTAATTGCCAGGCACTGTTAGGGGACCACTTTTGATCAGAATCATGATAAAGCCAATATTTTGACCTCTATCTGATTCCCACTTGATCCTAAATTCAGCTAAATAGTGAACTGTTAACTATTGCTTCTCTCTATGCCACCCGTCTCCTTCAACTCTCTGACTACAAATGGTTCTTCTCTCATTGCTTCCCACTCCTGGCATTCTTGCAAGAGCCAGACTTTTCCTATGGCCCTCAGAAGATTAGGATAAAAGGGTCAGATCAGTTAAACAAGATCCAAGCAACCAAATGCTTTTTGAGTGCCCATCATGTGAAATTGGTCTATTATTACAATTTTTAGACTGCACCAGATTTTTACTCTCTTGAATTTTATCAGGCCACAGTGAATGTTAGTAGCCTCAGTTCTGTGCGCATCGTAGTGTACGTCACGTTGACTTTTCCCTTTCCCTTTAATAGATTATAGAACTTCAGAAAGTGATCCTTTATTACTTAAAATCTCCTTTAGTTTCTCCAGATTTTATCACAAAATGGTTAGAAGACTATTTGTCCTGGTTTCTTTTTTCAGAACAAAGTGTCAGTTGAGGAACATTTAGTCTCAAGGGCATTACTTCTGTCCTTTTATAAGGACAAGTGTTAATAATGGTTTCTTTCTTTCATATTTCCAGCTTGCTCTTCTCTTCCTTCTGTGTTCTTTGTTTCTATTAATGTCTGTTGCTCACTCAGGCCCCAGATCTCAGAGTCTGATGATGCTTTGCCTCCAACGTCTGTTGTGTTCCTGACAATTTTACATCTCAGATCTATCCTGTCTTTCCAGTCTGCTGCCACTACCCAAGCTCTGCCATTGTCCCTTTCTCAAATATCGGTTCAACTGAAATTTACCAGCAGCTACCTGTTACATGGTGCTGGTGATAGAAAGATGAAATAGCAAGATTCTCTGCCTAATTTCAGTAACCTCTACTCCATCTAATGTGGTATTGCCACATTTGTCTTCATTTAGCTCAGCCCTTCCATTGGCTACAGAATAAAACTCCTTCAGCTAGCACTGGAGGCCCACCAGGAACTCATGGCTTCTACCCATTCTGTGCTCCAGCCACACTGAACCACTGACTGTTCTCCAGAGAGGCTCCCTCTCTCCTGATTGCGTTCTTTTACTTACTCAAGGTGTCTGCTCTTGCCTCCCCACGGCCACATCCTGCCATTCAAGATTTAGTTTATAGATCGCCTTTCTCCTGATCAACTAGTGGGAAATAAGCATCCCCTCTTCTGAACTCTCCTGCCTTTTATGACATGAGCGGTGCTCTGGGTGGTGGTGAAGAGTATAGACTCCAGAGCCAGGATGCCTTGATTCAAATCCCAACTCTGCTCATTGCTAGCTGGGTGACCTTGGCAACTTATTTAACCTCTCTATGCCTCAGTTGCTTCATGTGTAAAATGGGAATTATAATAGTACTTACCTCATAGAATTTTGAAAATTAAGTGGGTGTTAATGCATGAAAAGTGTTATGTAATGTTTGTTTTATGATATGTAAGCATGTACATAAACCTGTGGATGTCACCTATTATGGTATAGTTTACTGAGAGTAGGAGCTATATTTTCTTGGTGTCTGTAGCCCAGTCAGTAACAATTTAATTTCATGGTATATATTGGGCATATACTATGGGCAAGTACCTTGTCCATAGTAAATGCCCAATTTCATTATGAAGTTAATCTGTTAATATAATATTTATAGCAAAAGTAAGATTGTAGTCTTTAGCTTTTGTCCATACCGTTTCAGTAACCTTTGAACACAATGTAAAATAATTGACCTTATTCTTTCTTCTTCTCTATCCTCAGGAATTATCTAGTTGCATATTAAATTAATAGAATATCAATGGTATTTTGTGATTTTGAACTTTCCTTTTCTTAATATACCCATCAGCCAAATTATCTATATATGTATGTATATATTCCTTTAAATTTCTGAACCAGTGAATAAACTTACCCAGTTTTTTTCCTCCTTTCTCCCTGAAGTAAATTGACTAATCCAAACCTATACCTAACATAGTCTCCTTTAATTGAATCTAATGTTTAGATAAATTGAGATCTGTAATAAAATTAGTTCTCTGTACATCATAAAGGAAATAGAATTAAACTTTGATAAATTTATATATGCATGTCCTATGAGAACATATTTTTTGGAATTATTTGCCAGATAGTTAACCTTTTCAAAATAGTAATAATTTTGTTATTGTGATACTTAATTTGGGTCTACGTCACCAGCAAGCATTCATTCCTTTTGATGAATGTGTTTCAAATGCCCATTATATATCTAGTGCTGTTCTTAAAATATCACAGAAAAATGAGTGTTTGAACCCTTCACGTTGCTCCATCTCTTCATCTGTCGTGTCCTAAACTTTGCGTGCCATCCTTGGCCTAGCACCTTAATACCTTTCTTTCCACTCCTGCCTTCTGTGCTCTGTGTCCTAGGCTTCTCCTCATGTACCTCCACACCCAGTCAGTCCACGTTACCTATCAAATCTCTCTCAGATCGCTTATGCCTCCTCTCCCCACTGACAGGGCCTCGGCCCCAGCTCTCTTCATTTCTTCCTCCACTCTGCAGTGGCCTCTTAACTGTGGTCAAGGCCACCTGGGGTCTGGTTTCATCTGCCTCAGGCCAGCTACCACAGAGGACCTAATGCAAAATGCAGGTCCCTCCGTTTAAAAGCCTCCAGTGGCTATACAAGTAGTCCCCAGCTTCGTACTGCAAGGACTCCTTTCCAGTTGATAGTGGAATATTTGTATTTTGTATATTTGCTGTATTTTTGGGAATCCTGTTGATACTGGAGAAACAGCTATTGTAGATTTAGTAACCATCTTAAGTAAATGTGTACTTATTTGTCATAATACCATTTACATTCTTTTGAAAAATAGTGCAGACATATGCTAGACACATTCGGTATAGAGACACTGTCTGTGTTCGTATGATATGCTGCCGCTTGAAGTAATTCAGGGGGCCCCAGAGGTCCATGGCTAGAATGCTGGGTTTGCAGGGACCACCCAGTTTACTCCTGTTTTCCCTTTCACTCTCAGATGTTTGCTGGTGGAGACCAAACATGTGGTTGTTACAGCCATGAGCCACAGGTCGGGAATTAGTAGCAGGTCTCCTCCGACTCTCTCTGTGGAGTGTCTTCCTCTCTGCCTGCCTGGCATCTCCCCTGCACGCACTGGCAACTGCCTGCTTTGGGTCCCACCATGCACTTCTAGACCAACACCCACACGGCAGTTCCGTGTGCTCCCTGTTTCTGTCAGTCTCCCGTCTGGTGCAGTACCTTCTGTGGGGATCAGAATCGAGCCTTATTCCTCTTTGAACCCCCTACCCTTGCCAGAGTGCCTGACACATGAGGGGCTTTAGTATATGAGTGAGTGAATGAGTGATTTGCAAGGATTAAATAAGTAAATAAAACACATGTAAGGCACTGAGAAGAGTGTCTGGCACAACTAATGTGAGCACACCTACTATGTGCTGAGCACCAGTTTAAGTCTTGGGGAAACAAAAACGAACGAGATACAGTCCCTGCTTTCATGAAGCTTGCATTCTTGTGGGAGGAGATAGACATAAGTATTTAATATTTTGGGGAGTCATAAGTGCTCTAAGAAAAGTAAAGCTGGGTAGGGAATATAGACAGTGTGGAACAGCAGTATGATTTGGAGAGCCCCAGCCCCTGAATCCCACAGCAGAGGGTAGAAGGGCGGCTTTGAAGCTGAGAGACAGTAACTTAATACCGGGCACAGGGCTAAAAATCAGTGAGGGCGAGTGCTGAGAGGTGAGCACGTGGAGGTCCAGGGAAGCCTGCTCTGATCAGGCCCTCTGAGCAGAGACCCTAACAAAGAGAAAGCGTAGACATCTGCTGGGAGAGCATTCTAGGCTGCCACAGGAGTGGGCGTGGCTGATGAGACAGCAAGGAGGCCAGTGTGGCTGGAGTGAAGTGAATGCGAGTGAGTGGCAGGAAGTAAGTGCGAGGGTGGAGGTGGGGGCAATCAGGACTTTGTATTTTATTCTCAGTGAGAATGGGAGGTGGGTGGGGCTGGTGGGTGGAAATGGAATTATTAGAGTCTCTACCTTATCTAAAGTCTCTTTTAACTTGATATTTTGTGATCTCTAAATTTCAGCTCTAGTGTCCAGAGTGTTTAATTAGGCTAAATAGCATCACTGTTAATGAGAATGCTGCCACACCTGCTCAGACCTTACAAAGATGAGCAAGGTAATATAACTATTGTATTTTGAGCTTCAAGGTGCTGCATTACTGACATTGAGCATCGTTACTAGCTCAGTAACTTTAGGGTTTTTAAACTTAGTATCAGCGGAAATGGAATGTGTTTCTAAAAGTTTTTTTGTTGTGAGTTTTGAAGACTGCTTGTCAACATGGAAAAAACGGCAGCGTGAAACAGCTTCTCACATGTATCTCAAGAGCTGCCACCTAGTGTCCCCACATCATTCTCCATGCAGCACCCAGGGTGTTCTCCTAATGTAAATCTCCTTCTGTCACTGTGTTGTGTGAAAGCCTTTGGTAGCTGCCCCGTTGTTCTCAAAGTCAAAGCCCACATTCTTAAGGAGGCCTGGTGTGCCCCAGCCACCCGACACCTCTCCATGCTCGCCTCACTCTCTCAGTGGCCTGGCATGCTCCAGGTTGGTCTCTGCAGGAAGGTTTTTCTACCTGATGGCCTTTGTGTGTGTTGGTTCTACTATCTAGATCATTTTCCGACATCTTAGCCTGGCCAGTTCCTCCTCATACTTGAAGTCGCAGCTTAAATGTCACTTCAACAGGGAAGCTTTTCCTCCCGTTCACGCCCCATGATGTGGCCGTTTGCTGCTGCCCTATAATGTCATCCCTCTCTCTCTCTCTTTTTTCAGCCATATCATGTCTGAGTATGGGAAGATGACAGACACAGAACGAGACCAGATAGACCAGGATGCTCAGACCTTCATGAGGACCTGCTCAGAAGCAATCCAGCAACTAAGAACACAAGGTGAGGTGCTCTGAGAGATGCAGACAGACAACCATGACTCTATTTTAAAGTACTTAAACAAGATTCATGTCACACAACCAGTTAGTTCCCTCTTGAGTTCTTATTTAGATTTAGGTTTTAAAACTTTAAAATCCTTCTTTTCCTGAGCCGTGTTTTAGCCTGTACTGTTAAAAGTAATGAAAAATTCAACAAATGGGAGGAAGGAAGTGGAAAAGATCTCTCCAAACAGAACCAAAAATTTTCTAAGGGCCAGGGTCAGAGAAAACAAATTGTGTGTCTAAGTGTGTGCATGTGCGCATGTGTTCTGGGTGGCATTAGTGGGGCAGTGGTTGATGGTGTGTGGATAACAATGGAAGAGGGTAATCTAAGTTCTCTACATGTAGTATTAAAGGAAACTTTAGTATCACACTCGCATGATTAGGAGGAAGGCTCTGGGGCCATGGCTACTTAGGTACCACCCCATTTCCACCACATTCTAGCCATATGGCCTTGGGCAAGTCACGTAATTTCCCTAGGCCTCAGTTTCTTCATCTATAAAATGGAGACACGTATAGGATGTATCTCTTAGGGTTGTTATGAGAATTAAATTAAATTCTTATAGCCTGCTTAGAACCAGAGCTTGTACTAGGATCGCTATGATCTCACTTCATTAATGTTCAGTTTTTATTGAGGCACTGAGATGGCTTCCCAAGTCATGTATCTTCCTTGATTCTTTTTAAATTTGTTTAGGCAGATACAGAACACATTAAACAGTGTAGAGTTCCAAGTGGCCAGATACTGCTGTGCTCTTGATGCACACTTTTGTTTGGGAGGCTTCCTGTAGAGCCCTGGTGGACCACTTGGAGAGTCTGATGAAAGCTATGGACATTCTTGCCAGAAAAATATACATACACATGAAATTTTGTGTATAATTTCATGGATCTGCTGAATTCCTCACATGAATCTCAGGTTAAGCAACCCTATGGTAAAATCATAAATCATGCCCCCTACCTTTAAGGGCCCGTACATTCTTTGAGATAACATAGAAAATACATGAACGTTAATAAAACCAGCAATTCAGTACCAAACCCTGTGACATTGGGCTCCTTATTCATTCTGAACCTTAGTTTCTTCGTGTGTAAAATAGGCATAGTCGTAATTGCCTTTTGGATTGTTTGGATTTATTAGCAGTAATATATGTAAAATACTAGCAGAGTATCTGCACATAGTAGGCACTCAGTCTCTCAGTAAACGGGAGCTGTCCTACCAAAATAAGTGGTAGACTGTAAGAAGATATGCGAGTTTGCAGAAGAAAAGCATCCTTGTGGTTAGGAGTCAAGGAAGGTTTCCTGGAGAAGGAAGGTTTGACTCAGTGTCTAAGGGACCCTCGGAATTTGAGTGGCTGGGGGGACAGGACAGAGACTTCCAAGCTGAAAAACAGCACTGACTCAGGCAGAGGGAGTGTGTGGTTTGAGTTTGATTTAAATATGTTACTTGAAGGAGCATTGGATGCTGTTAATACGAAAGGGGTCAGCACTCAGGGAGTGGGCCGTGTCAAATACGATCCCCACATGCTGTAATAAACCATCAGTTGTTGTCTGTAGTTTCTCTACAGGTTTAATCTTTCAGTCTCGTAAAAGCCTAATAAATCCTACTGTTTTAAAAATGTAATGGTACTGACACAAGACTTGTTTTATAGCTGTATTTTAAAAATACTTTCAGTAAAGAAACTGTTCTAAGGAAGCTGATGAATTGTTCCTCAGCATAATTGAGTACAAAGACCTGACTGTTGTCCTTTTCTGTTACAGCCCACAAGGAGATACATTCCCAGCAAGTGAAGGAGCACAGGAGTGCTGTTGTGGATTTCATTGAAGATTACTTAAAAAGTATTTCATTTTATCTTAAAGGTCAAATGTGGCATTTCACAATAGATGTGATGCAAAATTTAGCTTTGCTAGCTGAAGACTTTAGTGTCTCATTATATTTAATGATACCTTTGCCTGAGAAACAGTTTTAAATGGTCTCTGTTCTGGTATTTTCCCCTGCAACAGGAGTGTGTAAACTTTACTCAGAACAAAGAGCCATCCGAGTTAAACGAGTGGTGGATAAGAAAAGATTGTAAGTATTGTCTCCCTTGATGTTCCTTAATTAATAATAGTAACAATAATAATAGCAACTCAGGTTTATAGAACACTTATGCTTTAAAATGTACAATGCGTGAATTTCTTCACAAAATGCCATAGCTCGTGCTTGTTGAGCACGTGCCGTGTGCAGGCTCTGTGCTAGACACTTTATGAGATGATGACACCCTGTGAGGCAGGGACTGTTATTATCCTCACCTTACAGATGGGGAGACTGAGGCTCGGGAAGTTAGGCAACTCACCCAAGATCCCACAGCCCGGAGGTGGTAAAGCTGGCATTTGAGCCCAGGCTGTTGGTCCAAAAACCGTGCCCTTGCCCATCTTGTCTTAAGAACCCTATGAGGCAGGCACAGTTTTAGCCATTTTACCTGTGTCTCTTTGACCCCCATGCCCCTCCTCCTTGTCTCTGAAAGTGTCTTCCTGAGGGAAGAGGGAAGAGCTGGAGCACAGTCATCAGTGCTCCCCTGCGAGGCCTTCCTCAGGTCATCTGCAGCTCCCTCCTAAGGAGCACTCACTTGATGCCAGGGGCTCCGAGGATGCACCCCACTCTAGCCCCCAACCCCCTTGCATAACAGTGCAAGTACAGTTATGAGCCCCCTTTTGCAGGTGAGACACTAACCTCCAGCAGGTTAAATGACTTGCCCAAGGTCACTCAGCCAGGAGGCAACAGAGCCAGACTTCAGTATTTCCCGTGGCAACTGTCTGTCCCCCTATTTGTCCTCCCCATTGGGCTGCTAGCTTTGAGAACACAGGGACTGAGTCCTCAAAGCTGCTTTCCTTGCAGCTGCTCAGCCAGCCTGAGATTGGATTCCTAAGTGAACAGGAGTGCTGGCTCCAGGCTCCCACTCTTGACCACTTGTAAACTGGCTTTGGAAAGATTTTAGGGTGTTCTTTCAGGAGATAACATTACATACTGTTTTAGGACAAATTTTCTTAATTCTTATTGTGTCAGGGTCCCCAGCACCAGCCTCAGGTTAGGTGATTCTCTGGGAGGACTCACAGGACTCAGCATATAGTCCTGCTCATGGCTGTGATTTATTACAGTGAAAGAGTGCAAAGCAGACAACAAGGGAAAGGCGCATGGGCGAAGTGCAGAGGAGACCAGGAGTCACAGATGTGCCTTGTGACAACTCGTGTGAAGTGTCCACCAGGGAAGCTCATAGAGACTCACTGCCCAGGGATTTTACTGGGGCTGGTCATATGGGTACCTTCTGACTGGAACACACCAAAACTCCAGACTCCCAGAAGGAAAGCAGGTGTTCAGCATACACCACATTGTTTGCACAACAGTTTAAGCACGTGAGCTGCTCTTCGCATTTAGGGTGATGGGAGCTCTCCCCAAGTTCAAGTTCCCAGACACCAGCCAAGGGCTGAGCTTGTAAGCAGGCCTGTCTAAGGGTAGTGGTCTCAGGCCTGCTGTGTTAACACACTTGTGAAACAGATTTGAAATTGTAAGTGCCAACAAATAGAAGCATTTGTGGAGGATAGTAAGTAGACAAGTCAAGTTACCTGTCAGCAAATAGTTAACTGAGAGCAGAGGCAGAGAGAAGCAAGAGATAAAGTCACTGCCCTCAAGGAGCTTAGTCAGACTAGGTTGCTATTAAATTTGAAAAATTAGCCAGCTTAATCAGGCTTCGTGCTAATTAGTGAAACCATTAGCAAGTTCAGAGGGGGTAACGGTACTACTGAGTAGTATAGCATAGTGTGTAAGAGCTCAGACTCTGCAGCCAGAGCATGTGTTCAAATCCTGGCTCTGCCACTTACATGCTGTGTGATTTTCGGAAGATTGCTTAATTTCTCTGTGCCTTAGTTTCCTCATTCATAAAATGGAAAAATTCACAATACCTGTCTTGTTGGGTTGTTGTTATCTTTGTTGAGAACAAAATGACTTGGTATAGGTAAAACACTTGTAGTGAGGAGTTACTATATGTTAACTTGTACTGTTATCTACTGTTAAGCATTTAACAAATGTCGGGCAGTGTGTTAATGTATGTCATCTAATCCTCACAACCACTAATAAATATTAGTATCCCATTTTATAGAGGAGATTGAGGCTCAGAGAATTTGGGTTACTTGTCCAGCATCATGCAGCTGAACTAAGATTTGAACGTCGGGGTACCCGGGGCAGATTTCTCAAACAATGGGCTTTGATTGGATGTTGCAAGGAAAGACTGGGTAAGTGGTTAGAAAGGGAGAAAGCAGTCCAGGCTTGGGGAGGAGTGCGGGCAGAGTGTTTGCCCCTAGCAAGTCCCCGAGGGGGAGGGTAGGGCTCTGATGATACGTGCTTTACCATCAAGATGGCGTGGTGCTCACGGGGTCTCACCCACCAGAGGGAGAGATGCCAATCTCTGCTTGCTTATCCCAGGTGGACCCTGACACTGGAGGCTTAGTAGGTACCCCAGGTAAAGTAAGAAGAGCCTTTTGCTGCTGCCTCCTCAGGTCCTGGTTCTCAGCAGAGGTTTCGACAAATTAAGATCAGTCAGATGGGAATTGTTCTCATTTAGACAGTGAATTGAAGTACAGACTTGTCTCCTGCCAAATAGCTGCCCTGTGCCAATTACTTGGAGCAAAAGATGGAAATAACTATGTGACCCCTCGCAATGTAGTCCAGCCCTCCCTTCTAGTTCTTTCCTCACCTTGCCCCTGAAGGCATTAGCCTAAAACATACATATAATTTTATCACTGCCTTGCTTCCATGTCTCACGAAGGCTAAACTTCATACATGGCATTCAAGGGCTTTGTTGGGGGCATAAAAGAAATATAAGAGTACGCTTGGCTCTGTAATATTAATCACTTTTCTCTAATATGTACATAGGGCTTCATTCAAGGTTTGCAAAGAACTTCTTCCACGTATTTTCTTGTTTCAGAACTGAAAAATCTGTTTCTCTCCCTCTTTTCTACCTTCTTCTGTTCTTAAATTTTAAATAGAATCCCAAGGTTTTTCAAATAAGGGACCTGGAAACAGATGTTGGCCAGGTGGAAGTTGTGGTGATTGCGGTTATCAAATGCTCAGCCTTCAGTTACAGAAATCAGTTTAAATAAATCATGGAGCATAAACTGATCTTTCTTATGACTTTTTAAAAAATTGCTTTTTTTTAAATTGCCTTCAACTAGTTAATTTGTAATTTCCCTGAGGATCTCAATAGACATTCCGTGTATAATTAGATCCATTTTTATCACTTAAAAAAAAAAAAACGCTCAACTTTGTCTAAGTCTGCTGCATTGCAGTCTTTTATTCATTGTAAAATGAAAACTGGCACATTAGCATACTCTGGATACAAAGGATGACAGACATTAAAGGAGCCCTTTATTTAAAAGACAAAAAAGCCCATCTCCTTTCTGAGCAATTCAGTCCTGCAGCCATGGAGTAGGGCAGAGTCAGGTGGGTGTCTGCAGTGTTGGGGAGCCGAGAGTTCCCAGAGCAGGTCAGAGCCCAGCAAGGAGAGGGGTGTATCCATGCAGGGAGGAGTGGCAGTGGAGATGGCAGGTTGGTTATAAACAGGGCAGTTGATCAAATAAGTAAATGTATAAGGATAATGAAGCCAGATTTCACACTGTTGGGAAAGTGAAAGGGAAAAAGTCAGAATGAAGCCTGTGGTGTTGGACTGGAATAAAAGGTACTGGTGTGAACTCATGGTTTGCAATTTACGTAGATAGATATAGAAATAAATATGGTAGTAAATGTATGTTTACGTATGCAAGTGCACGCATATATTTTCTGGCTCGGCAACTGAGAGGGCATGGAAGCAGTGCCACCCCAATAGCAACAAGCATACTTAGCACTTGGATCTTGACTTCTAAATAACAATTTCAGCTTCCAGGAACCAGGGCTCCGTAGAGAAATGGCTGATTCCAGGGCTGGGTCAAGGAAAGTATAATATGAGCCTGGAACATTTTGTCGTACCGGAAAGCAAGGAAAGGCTCAGAGAATGATGGGGACATGAGAAGGACACAGGCCAGTTTGAAGCGGCTTCCACTGGCCAAATTAGAGACAATTTGAGCATCAAAATAAATGATAATAGCAGATTATAACCTGTTGAATAAAATAAGACATTAGGAGTCTTTCTAGATAGGAATCAATAAATGCGTAAACTGAAAGTTTGAAATTGATAATTACATAGCATCAAAACACTGCCTACCCCAGTAGTTACTAATTACAAAGCGAGGAGTAACTTTACGGTGGGGAAGCCTGGCAGCCACCACCTTACTCAGGTGATCAAAGTGAAGTCATGCACAGCCTGATAGGATGCAGTGAGAAGAATATGAGTAGAATATCACTTTTTAATGCCAAAGATGCATAACCTGAATCCAACCATTGGGAAAGGTCAGACAAACTCACATTGATGCATGTCTTACAGAATAACTGGCACATTATTTTATATCAAGGTTAGGAAGCTCAAGGAAAGACTGAAGAAGTGTTCAAACTGAAGGAGACTAAAGAGAAATAACAGTAGATGCAATGCGTGATTCTGAACTGGATCCTTTTGTTATAAAGGATATTATTGCGATAACTGGTGAAATTAGAATGGAGTCTGTGGAAAGAATGGAAGTAATGTATTGATGCAAGTTTCCTGATTTTGATGGTTGTACTCAGGTTCTATCAAAGAATGCTCTTGTTTTTAGGAAATACTAAAATATTCAGCGGTGAAGGGGCATCAGGTTAGCAACTTACTCTCCCATGGTTCAGGAAAAAGGATTCTTTGTACTGTACTTCAGACTTTTCTGCCTGTGATTGTTTCATAACAAAATAAATTAAAAACCACAAAATACCATCTCACTCTTATTAGAATGGCTCAAATAAAAATGACAGAAGTTGGGGAGGATGTGTAGCAACTGGAACTCACATCTATCACGGGCGGGAGTATAAAATAGTTCTTTATTAGAAACAGCCAAATAATTCTCCCAAGTTAAATGACCATCCTTTGACCCAGCAGTTTCACTCCTGGTTCCCTATGCCTAGGCTGTCCTTTCTGCCCT